GGGGTGGTCTCATGGGGCAGGGCCAGAGCCAGGTGAGTGGTGGTGGGGCAAGGCCAGAGCCAGGTAAATGGTGATGGATTCTTATGGGGTTGAGGGGGGGTTTCATGGGGCGGGGCCGGAGTCAGGTGAGTGGTGGTGGGGCGAGGCCAGAGTCAGGTGAGTGGGGGATGGGGCCTGAGACCCGCTTGTTGGCCTGGATTTCTCCTGGTGCAGGGGCCCTGTCCCGCTTGCCTCAGATCAGCCGTTGGCTTCTCCCCTCTCACGCAGAGGAGAAGGCAGGTGACAGCTCCTTGGTGTCCCCCCTTGTGGGGGGGACACCAAGACAGACAATCTTGCGGTGGGATATCGCCCCTGCCTCATAGCCTCCCCATTTTCTGAGGGTTGCATCAGGAGGCAGCAAAAATGTAGAGTTACAGTAGTGACCTGCCAGTCAACCGTCGTGAGGCTCACATGTTCAGCACGCTCAGTGTCTGGATCTCCCTGTCAACACTGGTATTCGTACAGGCTCCACCTGAGTAGAGGCCGCTAAGTGCTTGTGGTTTTTTGAGGCAGGCTGGACGACTGGGAGGAGAGCACCAAATTAATTGTGTGTGGGTATAGACCGCAGTTGGAGCCTGGCTGTCCGTGGGGGGGTGCACCAAAGTGTGCGCTCCTCACCCCTTCATTCACATTTAGAAGTAAACGCTCCACTTCCGCTAGAATGAGAAAATGGTGATGGGCTGAAAGTTGTGATGCAGTAAAATATCGCGTCGTTCTAACTGACGTGCCTCTTACATTATTAACGAAGCTTGTCCTGTCTTTCAGTGACAATTCGCAGGTTTTTCAGCCTTACGTGTTGAGAACCCGCAGGAACAGTACGACCGTTATGAACCGTCACAGTATGGTAAGTAATCTTCAACACAACATGCAGTTATGCTGAACACTGAGTATTTGAGCAGGGCAAATTAAGTTAAATTTGATTTGCAACTGTAGTGAAGTACTTTTACATACCTCCTGGCTGCAAAATGGGTCCTTGCAAATATACTCTGAAAAATCCAAAATACTCTGAAAAATTAAAATAAATCAAGTAGTTTTGTAGGGGTCTATGGGATACTCCAAAAAGTGAGCCATGGAGGGGTATGTATGTATGTAGGGTATTCAGTATTCCATGCAGTATGTAATTACCATTCTGCCTGTAGCTGGATCCCACCTTACTGGGACGTCCCTACATTGGTTCTAGTCTCAGAGCTGCCACAGCACTTGTTTATGGGCTGGGAAGAGAAATCTACAGAAACAAAACAACCTTGTGCTGTTTCACTTGCCATGAAATAAAAAATCCAAACCTGCCATTTATCCAGCTCCCTGGTTAGGTGACTGCTGTGCAGGACACCAGGGCTAGACAGTTGCTATCACAGGTTTGAATCTGGAAGAGCAGGTCATTTTAAGTTGGATGCACAGTACTCTGCTGTTTGCAGGCTGAACAACTTAAATGGTAGGCTTGTAATTATTTCAGTTTTCAAAGATATTTGCAAATCATTGCAAGAGATTTATCTGAATTATTTAATTGGAAAAATGGGAATTTCTGCTATTTTTCAGCAAAAAATCTTGTTCTTACTCCTGCTGTACAGAAGTCCTACTTTATAGTGGAATAGCACTCAAGAGGTGCTGAAATCCCTAAAACATCTATAGCCACTCTGGATCATAATCTGCTAAGCAAAAGTGTGACAGAATTCTCATTTTAAGTTTTTCATTATGAGAAATTTCTCAAAAATGCGTCCTTCAAATAACATTACTTGTCCTACTATTTATTTTGTGGTAGTGCCAAAATTCTCAAATACAGCAGCGTGCCATGCAGACATCAATGAGAATCCTTGCTCCAAAGGGATTAAATAATTAGAGAGAAATAGTACATCTTACACTTTTCCTGAAGCCCTTTCAGTGGTAACTATTGAGAACGAATGGCATGAGATGTGATTTCAGTTCATTGTTATAAATTAGGTGAGAAATAATTGAGTTTAAGGTTTACAAGCAATTTTAAAAATATATAGATTTCAACTTGGTAATAGCCTACCTAACCTTCACAGTAAAGTTTAAAAATCCTATTTTCATAATGTGTTGCATTATTGCTTCTGTGTTTTATATAGGAGTGACTCCCTACAAAGCAGTGATCTGTAACACCAGTTGATTAAAGGAATTAGCTGATTTGTTGTGCAGATTGTACTAAGCTAATATTGATCTTTTAAAAGAGAGTACTGTGTGATCTGAGTTCTGACCACCTGATTGTCTGGTTTGTTTTAATTTAAAGAAAATGCAGGTGACTGAAGGTAGGCTGCCTGGGGACTGATTTGCGATTAAGCAGAGTGGATGTTTGTTTTTTTCCAGTTGCTGTCGTCCTCTCCTATTCGTATTCCTAGCAGCCGACTTCATCAAATCAGAAGGGTAAATTGCAGTTTACTTCATGCGTAACATTGTATAAATACTTCTCATTTGCCTCCTTGAAGGACTTAATGCAGAAATGGTACTCTAGGAGTTTGTTCTCCATGACACTTCTTTAGCTTTTTGTCCTCTAAGCTTGAATCTCTCTTCAGACTGAAGCAGTGTACTCAAAGCTTATTCTGCTATTATATTTAAGTGCCTCTGCATTTCTAATGCTGCTGCTTATTGTAGGCTACATGTGAGGCCTTGGGATGGGCATGGAGAGGTGATGAGTTGGAGTTGATCACAGGCATTTCTTTTTGGAGTGATAGTCTTGCTTAAATCTGACACTAAAGCCAGATTGAGATAGGAAGTCATTCTGAGTAGTCATGGTAATCTAAAAAGTTGTGAAAAGCTTATATAGTATCTGTCTTCTGCAGGAGGAGGGAGTTGACTTAATGAACAGAGAAACAGCACATGAAAGGTTAGTATAACTAAAACAAGATAAGAAAGTAGTTAGAATTACCATCTTTGTAGCCACTCATGGGATTTCCTGTGTTCCAGGGAAGTGCAAACAGCAATGCAGATAAGCCAGTCATGGGAGGAAAGCTTGAGCCTGGTAATATCTCTAATATTTTTAATTCACTTCTACACCTGACTAGTGAGCTTAAGGAAAAAGAGTGGAAATAATTTTGAAAAAAATAACTTTGGTTTTCTAGTTGTTTAGCTAATTTGGATGTCCATCAAAATGTTGCGCCTTAAGTTCTAAAATGATGTGCCATATTATTTTAAGGATGACATTTTGTGTTTCCAGAGTGACAATGACTTTGACAAGTCTGAGAAATCTTCCTCCCCAAAGAGAATTGACTTCGTCCCAGTTTCCCCAGCACCTTCACCCACCAGGGGAATAGGAAAGGTAGGAAATGAGGAAAATGCAATTTCAGATTAAGATGAACTGCACAAGAGTGTTTTTTAATATCCCAACAATTTAAAAAAAAACCAAACACTTGAGCCATTATTTAAAATACTCTTGAATTTTCTCATCATCTAAGAATTCTCAAAATCTGTGGGACAAACTTCTTTGCTTTTGCATTGAGTGATCTCTGTGGTTGCATTTTGCATGTTTTGTGGGGCTGCAATATTGGTGCTAGACTGTTTGGAAGAGCTCATCCTGAAGGTGGAAGTAAAGGTGTGGGGAAAGACCTTAAATTGTTTGTGGAAAAAGAAAAGGATGGGTTTTAAAAATGTAATGAAAGCCACAGCAAGATTTGGGCACAGCCTCACTATATATGGAGAAAGGGAGGAGGCAATGACTCAAGGTCGGAGAGGTGGGCAAAATGAAAGTACTGTCAACAGTGACAGAATGAGAGCAGGGGTGGTTTGTTTTTTGGAGAAAAGAGTTCAACTTTGGATATGTGAAGTTAAAATTGATGGCCCTTTCCCTTCAGTCCGCAGTGTTCCTGATCCTCAGCTGACCCTGGAGAAAGGGAGGAATTGCAGTGCAGATAACACTTCCCAATGGTCTTTTTTTCCCAGTGAGAAGCAAGTAGAGACAGTATTGGAACTTTGCTCAGGGCAACTGGCAAACATGTTTATAAGCAGATTTCTTGGCCTGACTTTCACTGCAGATTCTGTGACATTCTTTCATTGTTGCTGTGTTAGCACGGCTCCTTTATCAGCACTTGTCCTATTGGTAGTGTTGAACAGCCATAAGTTCTTTTACTATTGTTTTGGATAAATCAGCTCTGAGCAGTTATCCACATAACAGTAGACTGCTGGCAGTTTGTATATTAGTGCTCGTACTGGTAAAATTGCAGCTGTCAAAGCACCAGTGAGAGGACTTGACAAAATGTTAATGTGTACAAGCTGCCCTTGGGCAGAAATAGAGTTCATTGCAGGGGTACAGTATGCATAGAAAGCCCCAGGCGCTGCGTTGACAAATTCATGTTTAATCCATAGTATGTAAAATATATATGTAAAAGAGTATCTTAAGCCTGGGGTGTCTTTTGTTGTTGTAGCTTTTTGATGAGTGGTTTAAGTCATAATCCTACATCCTGCAACTTCAAAAGCAAAAACCCAAATTAATTCCGGAAATCATGCATTCTTCTCCGTGTCTTGACATTTTTTTAAAATTTCATTTTTGTTCTTTGGAAGCATTTTAATTTGAATAAAGTGATGATGATAGCATTTTTTTACAGTATAGTTTTCCCTGTAAATTTGTTTTTAATTTCCTGGGCTTTCTTTTCATAAGTTATCTATTACTGGAATTTTTACTTTAATGGGGAAATTGCTTGAAATGGATAAAAGTATCAGCTATTTAAAAGTGAACCGCAGAAGCATCTTACTGCGTCTCTCTCTCCCTAGCAATGTTTTTCACCATCCTTACAAATGTTTGTGAGTAGTAATGGATTGCCTCCAAGTCCTATTCCCAGTCCAACAAGGCGATTCTCAAAGTAAGTGAATTAATCTCAAACTAACAACTGCTCACTGATTTTATTTATTTATTGTTAGTTTACCTTGACCTGCTACATTACTTTTAAAGCTATTAAACATTAACATTTTGGCATGAAAACTGAAACTTGGAAAATACTTCATTATTAATAGACTGATTGATTAAGTTGAATAAAGCATTTGACTTCTGAAAGGCTCTAATCTTGTCCAGTTTTGGAGCAGCTGAATTTTCTTCCACTGTTTTGTTAAAAAGGCTGTTTTTAAGGCTTTTTTTTAACTGTTTGGAGGTCCCAACCACTGCCACAAAACATTTAATGTTAAACTTCAAGAGGCAGTGACATGCTGGAATTTTTCCAGTAGCTTCTTTCCAGTTAGACTAGACATCCTTTATATAACAATCTCAAAACCATTTTAAAGACAAGTTTACCAAATTCTTCAGTCATGCAAGTAATAGGATGTTTAATGGGTAAGTGGGCTGACTCGCATAGATAAAGAGAAACAGTCAACCTCTAAAGATCACAAGGTAGATATGTCACAGCTTTCAAAAATTGTGGTGTATTACAGTATGAGATTTCCTAACTCTCTCTGTTTTTGAATTGCACAGTTTTATTTAAAAAAAAACAAAACAGTTTATTACCTTTTCTAAATGTAATTTTGTCCTGGCTTAATATCAGGAAGAAACATTAGGAATAGGTTTTATTCAAGCTTTGGAAATCTTTCAGTCCCTACTGATTACTACTTTTTTGACTTTAGCAGGAGGAGTCAGAGTCCAATCAACTGCATCAGACCCAGCGTTCTTGGTCCCATTAAAAGGAAAGGTATGTTGGCAGTATCACATTTTAATATGGCTTTTATTTTGGCAGTTAAATAAGCTTCCAACCTTTTGTCTTAATGCTCTCACCTCAGATTAGTGCGTTTTGCTTCTTGTTGAATTGGAATGTTCAAATCCTTATTTCCAGCTGCAACATATAACAGATAAGTTAGGCTAAAATATACAAGTTGGAATAAAAAGTTTTCTAGTGAGCGTTTATGCTTGTTTTTTCCTGCAGAAGAAAAGAATGCTATAAATGTATTTAAACCTTGGAATTCTTTTCACCTTTTTAATTAATAAAAATGGGCAAGAGATTGGGATGTAGATTTGAGAATTAGGGGCATGGAACAGTATAAGTGATGATGTTAGTTTTAACTGAAAAAAAATCATAATGTATTTAATATTGTACAGCAGTGAAATGTTCTCTTTAAATGTTTTCTGCTAGTAAAAGCTTTTTTTTAAATTAAAATGATGCAGTTTTGCTTTCATGAGAGAGTTCAGTTTCTGAATAGTTGCCTCACCTTTCTCTTCTCAGTTTGTGTGATACTTAAAGTACTATACATGTGTTCTTTTGGGTAGCTCTGCATGATGGAAGCCATCATTCTTTTTCTTCAACGGAGAATGAATATATTCCTTGCATGCTACAGAAAATAAGAAGTTATCAGGGCCACCAGTCTTGGAGTACAGGCTGAGTGGTAGTATATTTCTCTTACATTAAAATATGCTGTAAATGAACATTATGTATGTAATATGATGAACCTTTTTTAGTTCTTCAAGGTGACACCAGAACAGCTGTAAACTAATAGAAAGCTGGAAAACACATGCTACTAGACTGATAATTAAAATGCCTAATGAGCCTGCCCATAAAAAAGAAAAAATTAAAAAATTAAGCTATTAAATGCAAACAGAACTTGTATAAGAAACTAGTTCCATACAAGTTCAAAGGGTGGCTGATCATTTGATCAAACTGCTTCTAGCATCTAGTTGTTTCTTGTCAGATTCTTAAATTAACCACATGGTCAAATCAGTGTTTGGACAAGCACACAGGGCAAGACTGTTTGCATGTAATTGTATAGAAGATATTAAATAGAAATTATTTTTTTTTAGTTGATTGTTTGGATTATTTTCCTCAGGCGAAATGGAAACTGAAAGTCAGCCAAAGAGACTCTTCCAAGGAACTACCAACATGCTTTCTCCTGATGTGACACATCTGACTGATCTCAGTTCATGGTAAAATTTTCTTATGAGCACTGAAACATCAAAGTAGAGGCCATTTGGTTACCTTAAGTCCATTGTTTTTCCAGAAATTATTAATTTGTGATGTATAAACTGTATATGCAGACTAGTAAAAGCTATGATGAAGTGACAGTAGGCCTCCCCTACTTCCTTTTGGATTTAAAATGTGCTTCCTTGCTGGCTGGTTGATAGCCATAGCTGCCCAAAAGTGGTTTGCTGTCTATGGTTCCTAATAGAGGTCTAAGAAATATTTCTTAACACCTGGAATAGGTAGGAATAGCCCTTAGTAATTACATGGCAGAGTCCGTGCAGCGGATAAGTGTTCCCCGTGTCCCTAACAGCCCTCAAACAGAATCTCTCACTGTCCACCATAGATTACTTACTGCACTGCATAGCAGGGGCCTGCTGTTCCAGTATGGAGTAGGAGCTGATAATCACGCTAATAGTTTTAGCACTTATAGGCTAACACTCTCTTTGGTATATCTGTAAGAGAGTATTTAACAAAGCCACATTCTTCACGTGGGCACTTTACAGCTAAGGTTATGTTGATATGCCCTCTTCAGTTGCAGTCTGATGTATCCTGATCACACTAAGGTCTGTTTCCTAGAAGTTGGAAGGTAACCTATTTGGCTTCTGATTCTTGCTTTTGTTTTAATAAAATCAGTTAAATTAAAGCGTTCTAAAATATCAACTTCAAGGAAAAGGAAGTTTGAACATTTTTTTGTGAAATTGGAAACTCGCCCACAAAAGAGAATTTTGCCTTTGCTTACAACTGAGTTATGAAACTAATTTGACACAAAAAAAGTTGAAATCACTCTAGAAGCCCTTAGAATCTAAGGCTGGCAGAATTTTCTTCAGTGACAAGAGGGGGAAAAACCTTTAGCAACATCATGCTTTGAGTGGTACAGTAACAGAGCAAACTGGTTAATTAGTGACATCGTAGATGCACCACTGGAATGTTCCTCGGCAAATGAGATCCTTTTCCTTTCACCCTTCTTGCCATTTCTAGGTATTACTTTCGTTCGCTGGTTCCCCTGTCTTAGTTGGTTAAACTGTTGATGTCTTGATTTATTCTGCATGTTAAAAATAAGCATTCT